GTCGGCTTCTGGACCGAGATGCTTCAGCTCATCGGACTGAAGCGCAACGTCCCCGTGGACAAGCGTGCTGTTTGAATTGCTTCAAGCGAATCCGCGAAACCTGTATAGCAGAGATGTTCTGCCATGATCTAACGTCATTGGATAGATTTTCTATCGCCAGAAGCCTATGAGCACTGGCTGCGCTTTTACATAAATCAATACCCATTCATTCTGCGAATCTCGAGCAACAGCGACTTGCGAATGATGACCGACCTCCGCTATACCCATGCGACAAATAGCGAGGCGGAGAAAGATACCCAAGCGACAGTATGCATTGAGCTTCGACTGTGATGTCTTAATTGTGGCATCCGCTGCAACAGCCTAAGCGACACTGCTAAGACGACTATCCAATGCGACACATCCGTACGAGGCCTCCCACGCGACACTACTATTATTGGCAACGCTGGCGGTACGTCTGTTGTCACGCGCAGGCTTCCCTAGCATCATACGGTCCGAGACGGTTGTTGCTTTGTCTCACCAAGGCACGGTCGCAATTACCTCTCAACGTCGATCGACATTTCGCCTGCGTGGATTGAATAGAGCAGGATATCTACAGCTTCCACTTCATCTATTTGGCCTCCGAACAGTCGCCCGAATTCACACGCGTGCATCGAACAGACAAACTAACTCGCTTGGCAATGCTTTCCGAAAGTTTCTCCGCTATTGTTGCGATGCGCGCCAGGCCACCATATCTGCCTTGGTGCGCCTCGCGTCAGCCCCCGCGTACGCCACTATCAACCCGTATCAGTTCACCAACACCCACGCATGCAGTCGCCTGCATCAAAGGTTGGTCAAGGTGTACAGGCTGAATCTGAGGCCTTGAGACCCAGGAACTCGGTCGTGAGGTGGGCGTAATGTCTTACATGTCTTATCGCCAGGCTTTCGGCGCAGCTGCAGACATCCTTGACAAAAGACCGCGGGAAAACTTTGGTTCTCGAGGCAGACAGCCACCGATTCGCTCGGATCTTAGATCCTATGCGCATCTACGTGACCGTGCCTCGAACGCTGCAACACCATTGAGCTTATCTCGGACCTTCGACTAAGGGAAGACGACACCTCAGGCCATCTCCAGCCATGTTCGCGTCGGTGCGCGATATATAACATCGCTCTTTACATCCCAAAACGTTCAACTGATCCCGTCGCCAGCATCCCGGTACCGCTGGTGGCGCACCGCGATCCCGCCTACACCACGCCTCCGGGTTGACGCATTGGAGCCTCCCACTGCCGCGAACACACTATTCATGCTGGTTCACGTCGTTTTGGCTCGATGTCCGTACCTTGCAGGACCTTCTCCGCAATTGATAACGTGTGGACTGTCTAACCGGGATTGCCAGACGGCTCCATCTTTCCCCGCATTGTTCACATCGTGGACCGATCATGTTATTGGATTTACGGAAAATGGATGGCTGAAGACCAAGCTTCATCTAAGACTGCGGAACCGCGATACAGCTCTTTGACGCTCTATCTCTTGGTATCAACGTGGGATACTGGATCACATCGCAGAAAGAGGTAATGTGGAGCAGTTGTCGCGTACTGACCATCGCAGCTGATAGACTGAACAACGCGGTCCTTCCCCGTCGGAAAACACACTCCTTGTGAATCGCAACACCCAGGCCTGCCTTACTTGGCGGAGACACGCCCAGTATGGAATTAACACATGTGATCATCGCTAGACATGCGCTATCCATCATTGCCCCGAGGCCCTGGTACGGTACACGTTTCTGACATTGCGCTGTCGCGAGCCAGACGCTCGTCATATGGAAGGGTACCACTGGAGTCTTACGGTACGCTACCGCGGTTCATATGCGGTACGCTTGCGGCTCGAGATATCTCCGTGGCGATCTGACGTAGGATGGTTTGTCTAGATCCACCGGTGCTGTCACCCTCCAGTTGAAGATGGGTGGACAGTAGTAGTGTAGCTGTGAGTATAGCGGCCCTGAGATTTTTGACCCGGCGTGGAATGCGAAGCATGCCAGATTGTGTAACTCCGGCTGAATCAAATGCTTGTCTATAGATTGATAGCTCGTTCGGTCTCGCCCTGTCGCATTGACAAAGCCATGTGCGATCAAGTCCGCAGAAATCTTGTAGACAGTCTTCATCAATTCTGGGATGGATGATCAGATTGTCTTCAAAATCACTTCCGTAGACTGCATAAGAATTAGACATCCAGCGTGATAATAACGCTTCTCCCAATCCGACGTCTACCATCTTACGTCTTGTCACGAAGCACAGATATCTATGTCTATTTGCAAGCTATGCCACCCTCTCGCTTGACATCCCGTGCGATACCAGTTTCATAGCCATGCCCCCAACAATTGATATCTCCCGGCCTCGTCAGAAAAACACATGTATCGTACTGCTATCTCTCCGAGTGCTATTGCCTGCAAACCACAACACCATCCCCATTTCCTCAGCCTCACCACGTGCAACTAACCGCGCTAACACCCCATCCGGCCCGTCAACCCACTCGGCCCTTCATCCAACTTCGCCCCCCGAACATCGGGCCGAATACCTCCACGCACACCAACTTCGCTTGCGTCCACGTGCGCTCTGGCCAAGAACATTGGCTGGATGCCCAACGCAGCCACGCCTTTTCTCACTCGTCGCAATACCTTGTGCGACGTAAACAATAAGGCCGAGTCTGGGGCAGATGAACGGGACAAGAAAGTCGTCTTCGACATGACATCATGCGGAGAGAAATGTCGTAGGGTACGCGTGAGACTGCTGCTGCGGCGTGGCGTGGGACCGGAGTTGGGCCGAAGTATATCCTGGGGTACGTACTCGTAAGACGAACCACCGGGTGTTGAGGCGTTTATCTTTCACCGCGGGCGGTGGATTGGGTGTGAAACTCCGGGGTGCTCGTTGCAGTATGGTGTTGACGTCTGGGCTTCGATATGTCTGCCGTTGGTGTTTTCTGGAAGTCGCATGCCATACCTGCACCTTCCTTCCGTACTAGCCAATCACACTATGATGTCTTACTTCGACATACAGCTCCTCATCGAAAGCCATACAGCTGCCCTATAGCTTCCTGCATATCCACGGTATTCAGCGTAATCCGCGGTCTGGGATCCTTGATACGCGTGAAGATTTCGAAAACGAAGTGCGAACCCAGTGTAAGAAGTAGACAAGGTATGACGAGGCGGCTGAGTATACGACCCCACGATATCCGTTCTTCTTGCACCTTCTTCTCTTTCAGGTACTCCTTTTCTTCCGTGGTACTAGACGTTTCCAAAGGTGTTGATGCCGCTTCTAAGATGGTCCTGTAACTCAGTCGACCGAGCCAGATGTGCCATCCTAGTAGCATAGTCGCTGCGGCGGCGATGCTCATCCATGAGGTCGTCGCATAGGGTGATCGCGCTCTTCGTCCTAGTAGTTCGTATATCTCGTCTAGACCTTGTACCGCGCGGTGCATGGTGACTGGAACGAAGAGCATAGCTGCTGCGAGCGCGACGACCTCTAGGCCGCGCATGCTGAGGCGTTTGAGGAATGTTGTTTCGGCCTTGTGGACGTGCCAATGCGAAATTAGAGATAGGAACTCATTTGTGCGCGGGTGTGTGGTTGACATTGTTAAGAGCATGGCGATGGGTTTGGTCGTGTCCTTTGGTGAAAGCCTGGCGGGTGCGGTGATGAGGTTTAAAGATAAGAATAGGTTTCGGTGGCGGCAGCAATGGCGATTTGATGCCGCAGATTCCTAGCCACGAGCAAGTTTCGTGAGAAGCTTCGATATGGTGGATCGACGGTGTCCTGCGGGATTCGCGTCGTTGTCGTCGTTGTTGCTGTCTTTGTCCGGGGCTTCCCTTCCAAGGTTCCTCTTCGTTTGTAGGTGTCTCTTGACGCAGCGCTGTGTCGCAATGGAAGTAACGACTCCTACTTCTTTCCCTTCACGTCTTTGAGATCCCTTCAATCGCTACTTCAATGTCGATTCCAATCGCCTCCGCCCCTTTCCGTCGCGTCCGTTGCCCGAGTATGACGACTTTCCCACGCTCTTGGCTCTGCGATCCGCACACAAGACGCAACTAGAATCACAGCGATGCGCAACCCGTCCTTGACCCAATTGGAACTTCCTGTCTTGTCTGTCTGTCGTCGCCAGAAAAGTTCCCCTGCGTTAAACCACACGTCGCGAAAACCACGTTGCGCGATGAACCTCGGCACTTCGCGTCGTATCCTCGTAAACCCGCTGAACGTAAAATCGGTGCCAAGCCCCTTTTTCGCACAGTCCCTTGCCGCTCTTCCTTACTGCAAATCTTATGCCGTGCCGTCCGCAACAAAGATTCTCGCACTTGCAAGCGCTCGTACAACAATAACGGTTCCGCGTACAGACGTCGTGTAACAGGGGAAAAAGGAATAGAGTTGGATGATGATGCTTACAACTACGTAGCCGTCCTCGGGAGTCCTACCATGTCTACGCCTGATCCGCACTGCGCCGCAGCCAGCAGCAAGTAGGCTGCCTTGCTGAGGGGCGAGGTAAGCGTTAAGGGTTGCCCCGCATCTGCAGCCTTGCGTCGCTAGCTTTTTAGCCTCGTGTTGTGATTGGTGCCCGGGCAGAAAGCGTGCCTGTGGCTGGTCGAGAGTATGAGATGTGGAGATTGGAGTTACGATGCGAGAGGAAGGTGAGTACCTAATGGAATGAGATGATTCGTGTGGTGCGATGGAAGATTTGGGTAATAGAGCTGTTATGGTGCGATATTCATTCCAGAACTATTGCTTCTTCCTAACGCGGAAGTGTGCTGCTGGCTTCATGAGGTACATGACTGCGAGAAAATAAGAGGTCTAAAAGTAACAGACAACCACCATCTACACTTTCTATGCGACAAACAACTTCAAGAAGCCAGGCTGCAGTATGAGAGGTCGCAAGGCGCTACGACTGGAAGTCCAAGAGTACAGAACACCGACAAAATGCACGCTAAACTATCAATTCATCCACCACATTTGCGCGACGTATGCCATGTCAGTAGAGATGATCAAGCGCCAGGCCCATGATTCTCGAAGCTAACAGCCCTTGCACGCATTGGTTGCTGCAATCCAGCATCACCATATCCCCTCCCTTCATAATCATTTTCAGTCATGACGCCCAAGCTCTTCCAAGTAGCCTTCTCTCTCAGGTCACTATTCTGGTGATTGTTACCGTACGAGCTGGGTGTACTGGCTCGCTGAACCGTGATACCAATGCCTAGCCCTTGATTCCTGGGTAAAGCACTGGTAGGCGTGTTTTCGTACGAGAAGTCAGCCGTGTTGGCCCTGCCGCGGCCATGCCCTGCGTGGTTGCCTTCGTCTTGGAGTGTGGCTTCCCTGTCAACCGCTGGGCCAGGACTGTGACTTAGCATCCTAGCTTTGCCGTTTGATGGACCTGTGACAAAGTCGCGGAGCTGAGGCGGCGAGTCTGCGAATGGCGTGTACGCGGTTTGAACTCTGTTCAAGGGAGGTGTTGGTGTGTGGCTTCGGCTGCGAGGCGCGCCTTTGGGTGTGCCGCCAGGGCTTGGTGCGCGGCTGGGGTATTTTGATATGAGACCACCAGTTTCGTTGTCGTCGCTGTCGTTGTTCAGGGTCCTGTTACCCCATGAGATATCGCGGTTGTGCGAGTGACGTGGATGGCGGCTGGTGTATTGTGCGACGACAAGTAAAATGTTATCAAAAAACAGTACTGGCAAAGAAGTCAGCATATGATCTCAGTCTCTCGATAACAAATGTGGAGGACATTTACCTGTAGCAAAGAACAGCACCACTATGGGAATCATCCAATGACTCCCCTTGAACTTGAAACCACTGGTGGTCTTGTCCGCAATGACGACAGAGATTCCCAGGATGATAAGCGTAAAGCCGACAACAACTCTGTTGATGATCTCGCCGAACTCATACTTCGTCTTGTGGATCTTGTTGAACCAGTACATGATCGCAAGCACCAACAGCAGACAGCCTGCGCCGATGAAGAACTGCATGGTAGTGGTGTTGAAGACATCGGAAACAGCATCTAGCTTGTTCCGCGGACTAGCTGTAGTCGCGGCAACGGCGTTGAGCTTCGCAAGAGAGTCATAATGTGCCTCGTACACGAAGACTTGCGCCCTGTCGAACATGTGACGGACAACGTTGCCGGTTCGATTGTTCCATTCGTTTGATTTGAAGCCGTACATTGCAGTGTAATTCTCGATCGCAGTGAAGTTCGTGTTCCAGTTGTATGTAGTGTTCCAAGCTTTGCTCTTGAATCTCCCGTTGATAGCGTTCATGCTCTGATTGAGGTAGTCGATGTAGCTGTCGGTGTCGGAGTAGCCATTGGCTGGGTCGTAGTAGTTCTCGGGTTTGAACGACCAAATCCACTTAAGAGCTTGCACGGCTGAGTTCCACACGATGAGAGAGGTGTTGCCTTCGACGCAGAGGAGAATTGCTGAATGCAATGGATAGTGTAGTAGAGCCCATACTTGCTGACGCACGGTTCCGAAACGATCATGGGAAAGCTGATCGAAGTACAGCATCCAGAGAAGATACTAAAGGCCCAATTAGCGCTGTCTTTGAGTTGTTAGGTTCTTGTCTGCATACCAAGAGAAGAATGGCCGCGATGACAGTTCCAATCTCACTCATGTTGTTGCTCGTTTGGCTTTTGGTAATACATGCCACGCTCTTGACCATTCCGATGATACCCTCCCCAATGATGATGAGTGTAAGGAGTTGCAGCCGCTCCGCTAGATGAGTGTACTTGAAACTGATGATGCGCCAAATCATGGCGATGAGAAAGATGAGAAGACCTTCAATGATGGATATCATGACCCTACGCATTCTGTTAGTCTAGAAACCGAACGCGGAGTACACTACATACCATGCGAGTTGTTCCTCAAGACCAACACGGCCCTTGGGAAATACAACCATGGTAACGGCATAGCATATCGCTGCAGCAGCATGTACACCTGCACTGAGCCCTAACGGAATCAATGTCTGGCGGAACATGCGACCTTGCCACATAACTACGGCGTATTGAACAGCGATTGCGATTCTGCCGATGACGAGCACGATAGCAAAATTCCGGTAGGATTTCTCGACACCGCTGGTGCTGTACTTGTCGAAAACGGGGCCGGCATACACAAAGCCTGTGAAGATGCCGAACTGTATGGCTTTGTGAAAACGGTTCCAGACGCAGTCGATGCTGAAGCGCACGTCGAAAAGTGTGACGCTCAGCCACGTAAACCACATAAGCGTGAACAGCTTGATGTAGTTGATGAGTGCTAGTAGTCTATTAGCTAGTGTATCCAAGATGTGAGAGCTGTACATACATTCTGCATCGGTATGCTGATGCATAGCTGTAAAGTACGCAAGATTGGCAACAAAGAAGAGATCGTAGAAGAGCTCGATCGTACTGGCTTCGGTGTGTTGTTTGTAAACGATGATATTTCCGCGACTTGTCCTGCCATTCCCAGCAAATGTAGCCGTGTCGTTCGAACTGTCGAGCGTGCTTGTGTGGGTGTTGACCTTCTCCAAATCTGAAGAGTTACCCGACACTACTTCGAGGACATCTTCGTTGATCGGACTTGCAAGGAGGGGCAGGTAAGTCCTGTCTTTCCCATGCGCTGCGTGAGTACTGTTGTGACTGCCGGTAGTCTTCCGTCGTAAACTGAAATAACGTGCAAGATCCATGATGAAACAAATGGAAGGAACTGATGATCGTGGGTGGTGGTACGACTGGATTGATGAGAGAGCTGAGCAACAAGGCAGCTACAATACCTGAACATATATACAAGACGCCAGCTACGAGGAAGCTGCTTCGTGACGGTGAAACATCTGGTCAGATCGCGTCGGTCCGTAATCGACGACGGGTATCAGTAAGGCCATCGCTGTATGTGATAAGCCTTCGCCCCGTAACATGGCCAATTTAAGAGTAGCATGGCTGTGGTAGAAAGCTTAAGTGAGCCATCTGTACCGAACGATCGTTTAGATCTGTGTATCTGGGGGGCCGTTAGGTCCTAGTATCACGCTTCTAGAAACAATACCAGTGGGGCGCAGGCAACGGAAACCGCGTTGTGTCAACGGAGAGGCTTGCATAAGAGCGAATGCATGCCAGGAGAGGTTGTGTGATCCGAAGAGTATTCTTGAAGCTTGCACTACGGAGGCGTCGTTAGCTGTTGGCAAGGAAGCGCCGTCTGCCGTGAGCCTTGCAGATCTGCTGCATGGTGGTTGTTGCACGATACACCTCTGTGTATCGGAGATCGGTAAAGCCAACCATGGCGTCGGTGTGAGCGGTGCAGGAGCATTGAGCCGTGCCGATCTGCCAGGATGACTGCCAATGTCGGACGTACCAGCATGCGCCGCCAAGCTTTCAAATAAGCTCAGGGTGCACAAGTCTTCGGTCTCGCAAGATGCTGCGGACCAGGCTGAGAATTCGTTTTTTCGCCGAACACTGTCCCTACTTCGAGCCTGCTGACGTTTGCCAAGACGGTGCACATGTCGCTGTAGCATGCCAAGCCCTTCAGCTGGCTGGTGATGAGGTCTCAATTTGGAAGACTATGCCAGCGCAAGTGCCGGAAAGAGCGAATGAGATGCGAACAGCGAACCACGCCCTTCCAGACTAGTACATGCACACGCGCCTACCGTTCCATGTGGTTACACAGATGAAAGTAAAGGTTGTAGAGGTTAATGGTGTTCGGTTCGGCGATTACTAGCAAGCCGCGTCCTAAAATGCCTGCACAGTTTCAGCACATTTGAATCATTAGATTTCTTCTCCCCAAAGATATGCATATCCGCAGCTCAGTGACCAAAAGAGGAGCTTTGCCACTGAATTGGCTATTTAGAGAAGATGATCGGCAGGTGTTCGTGATGGAATTGAAAACGTCGCGAAGCCCTTGCTGGAAAGATTATGGCGTCCACGGTTGCTATCTTCGTGAAGGTTCAACATATTCACTGGCTCCTTCTTCAAAGTCCTCATCTGATGAGCTCTCATCGTCGTCTTCGTCTTCGTCTTGGGTGGCCTCGTAATCGTCGTCTAGCTCGTCATCGTCATCATCCGGAACGGGTGTACTTGGAGGTGGATGCCTGGACCGTAACACGCGACCGGTGCTGTTGGCTGCAGCATCAAGTCTGTTCACTTTGGCTCTCACTCTGCCCTGTCTGCCTTCCCTTTCAAAGTTGAGGGGCCATTCCAGCTCGAGAGCCTGCTGCCTGGTGCCAGCATTATCGATAAGCCAATTATACGGCTGCTTGAGTACGATCTCGGTACGAATGACGAAGGTTCCCCAGCCTCGAGCTTCGTACTCATAAGGTGGTTTTCGGATAATGACGTGGGATCGTCGGAATGTAGGATGCTGTTGTGTGTTAGCGCTGAACTAAAAGGAATGTGAGATAGGAATTGAAACCATACCAGATAAATATGCACTTCCTTAATCAAATCCGGCCTCGACGTGCGCACAAAGAACGTCCAATCATGCTCGTTATCGTCACCAGCATTCCTGATAAGCCTATGCTTATTCCCTATGAGCATCATGACGCCCTCGAAGCCATCACGCCCGATACGTGACCATCTCTCCTCTTCCTCTTCCACGCGCCTTTCGGCATACGTAATAGGATATTTCTGTTCTAACTGTCCTGCCAGCGCGTTATCCGGAGTTGCGGCAGTACGCGTCCTGCACATGGGACAGTTGCACTCGAGGTCGTACGTCGGATCGTAGTTCGGATCGAAGTCTTCGAGGTTCACGTCCCAGCTGGAGGGTTCGATGCGGTTCGTGTTGGAGGTGTCGGACCATTGTGCCATGCAGGACGCGCATAGCAGGTGGTTGCACTGGGTTTTTACGGGCGTGAAGAGGAGAAGTTGGCAAATCTGGAGTTTGTTAGTAAGAATACGCGTGTTCGCGGGTGGTACTTACGGGGCAGAGGTCATCGTGCGCGACTTGTTCCGGGTTCGATGGTGTTGCTGCTTCGGCCATGATGCCCAGGTGATGCGACGAGGAGAGCAAAAGGAAGATCAAGTGATTCCAGTAGGAGGGCAGACTTTGGCTGCCGTCCCTTGGTGCATTGGTGGCATGGCTCGCGTCGTGATGTTGTTGTCGTCATTGGTTAAGGCGTCCTCCAGGCATCAGTCCGCGCCGCACGAATTGAGGCGGGGAGGCACGTCACGTGATAGCGCGTCGAAACTCCGCATCATATTCTTCCATCTCCAGGGCTCACTTATTATGTGCACTACGATGTGAATCACGTCAGATACTACATCATTCCTCTACATCACACCAGAAATTGGTACTGAGCCACGCACAATGAAATGTAAACATCAATGAGCCTGGCGTCCCAAGTGCATCGCAAAGCAGATGAACGTACCTAGTTATGCGCTGCCAACAATGCTTGCAAAGCCAATACTGACTAGGTAGATGCGAGACACCGATATATTGAATTCATTAGATTACAGCATAAATGACACAAATAGCTTCAAAAACTTAGCGCAGGAATAGAGCAGGCACGACCGACCACCAAAACCATCCAGGTATCTCAAGTCTCGACGCGACACAATGGGACAAACCTCCTCAATCACACAATCTTTGCCTTAATACCCTCACCATCCAAAGAGATGAACTTGCCGAGCATAAACCCCACGCCAACCCTTTCGTACACTTTCAAGTCCCTGCTAGTTAGTCCATGGATGGGCGTGACAAGCAAGACGTAGTACCTCTTATCCTTGTCGGCTCTTCCCTCTTTGCCTTTCGCCACAGTAACGCATTGTGCTCGCTGCCCATCAGATCCCGTCCGTCTTTCCGTGTCGTAGACAATCTTGACTTCGAACTGTTGCCGCCCTGCCACGTCAAAGTTGCGGACTGTGGCTGTGATAGCGACCTCGCGATCAGGCGGTGCAGATTGGATGGTGCTGTACGGACGGCCGCGTGTCCACGGCGGTTGCAATTCGTCAAATTCCCAATTCGCGGAGTTGAATGGCGGATCGATAAAGTCGATGCCGCCTTTGTAGGCCATCCAAGACCAGCTCGGGACTTTGACGTTTCGGGCGGGCGGGAATTCGATTGGTGTTAAACCTGAGGGGTCTCCTTCTTCTTCACCACGTTGCCACAGAAGGCTGCGGTGAAAGAGGCCGCCGTCGTGCTTGTCCCCATCGTCGAAAATGCCATAGTCGCCCCTTGTTCCGAAAGCCTTCTGCAATCGTTTCTCTAAACCAGCTATGGCGAATGGTCGATCGTCATACTGAGTGAAGTTGAGACGCGAGTACTGCTTGTAAAGGCCTTGAAAGTAGGCTATCTTTCCCGCTCGGGTGGCACTCATGGCTTTGGTGGGGAACTTAGGGTCGCCCAGGAAGTCAGCCATGTTACTGTAGCACACCTTGTTAGTAACTTGACGCTTTGAATGGAAATTTCGGTATACCGCTTACTTGTGCATCTTGGTCATTGTCTCACACCTGATACCGTCCCCGCACTCAAAGTATGTCTGGTTTTCGGTAAAGTAAATCGTCCGCCGCGCGAGCGCACGTTCCTGAAGCACCCACCCACGTTTATTCAGCGAGCCTTCGATTACGTCTTGATTGAAGTTATCAATTGTTTTGCAGACATAAAATGGCTTCTCATTCCCACGTTGGAATGTGACGTAGTCGCGTCGTTTCCTTGGACGGAGGAAACCATCGCGCTGGCTGGTCGCACGACTTGCAGCAAGGACGCAGTAGGCATCACTGAAGACGTTCTCCATTCTCTTGGCCTCTTCATTGAAGTCGCCACCATCACCCTGAATGATGGCCAACGAATCGATCCACAAGTAGCGTACCCCCAGCTTTCGCGTGCACTCTACAGCATCTCGAAAAGTTGCAGGCAATTGCTCGTGCGGTATACACACTTTATGGCGCTCAATATTTGCTAGTGACGTGCAGAATGGTGGGTATTTCTTGGTGTCACCCCATGGATGCGAAAGTGCGATATAGGTCTCGCTCAAGATCCGCTCCTGGCGTGTCTCGACCAGTCGAAGGACTGGAGATTGTAGGCTTCCTACATCGATCAAGCGTGTAGGAACGCTTTCAGGCTTGAAGTGACAGTCTTGGTGTTTGAGGTTCAGGGAATCAGTGGTGTTGCAGTTCTCGAGCCACAATCTCATGATCTCGAATGAAGTCTCGGTGCCTGGCTGGGGTGGATCAGGGAAGCCTAACTGGATTGCAGTTGGTGGATGAGAGTCTGTTATTTGTCAGTATCTTTGCATCTATCATCATGTAGTTGTCACGAGCGGTCTCAGGTGCGATTCGTGGTGACTGTGATGTAATAGAGAAGCAATACTCACCAAGGCTTCTGAATATCGACAGCACTGGAAATGGCTCTCCGACAATTTCTAGCACTGATTGCTTTCGTTCAAACCCCACACGTCTTCTTCTCGACCCGTCGCTCTTGACGCTCACTTCGTTGAGCATCTTGCAAAAGTCGCAGGACTCTGAACGATCCTCAAGTGCCGACATCGAATCATCGAATGCAAAACCCCCTTGCCAAAAGTCCAGCTTCATGCAGCGATCACATAGCTTGGTGGGGAAGCTCTTCGGTTTCGGCGAAAATTCGTCCGCGACGCCTCGGGCTGATAAGGCCGCAGGTACCTTTTCGTCGACGTAAAACTCCCAACTCTTGAGCGGAGGTAGCCGGTAGTCCGCCGTTCTTAAAGGACGTCCCAAGATGCCGCTC